GCAATTAGAAATAATTTTAAGAAAAAAGTTTTAATATTGATAAAAGTATTATAATAAATGAATAAAACAAATTCATATAATATATTGGGTTGGCAAGTAAGTCATTGCTAATTTTGAAAGGCAACTTATCAACAAAATCTGCAGTTATTTACTTACCAACCTAATAATTAACTTTATAAATTTATTCTCTTTGTAATTTTCTATTATTTTGGATTTTAAATGATGAAATATATAAAAAAATTTTAGAATAGAAGAATAATAAATTTAATTTGAAAAAAATAATTAGAATATTGATGACTTTAGCGTGATTCTTATAATTGGATGTTGAATATGTGTTGTATGCAAAGTAAGAGTAAAATATCCGAAAGTTGACACTAATGTGGGATTAGTGTTGCATGAGATTTGTGTTAAAAGTTTGTCTGAGTGTTAGGTCGTTGTAGGAAGGAAGATTATCCCCAAGGAACAAAAATGTGAGTCATCGTATATCGGTATATGAAACAGGTACACGTTCTAAAGTATATAATTAAGAATCTATGAGTTTTACTTAATTTCAATTTTACAATTCCGAATGTTTAGGAATAAACAATTTTGATAATTAATTTGATTACTTTTTTCACTATTTAACATTTATTCTCTAAACAATAAACATTTTTTTTTGTTTAAACAATACAACGAACTATCGAAGGTTAATAAAAAGTTCAGTTATTCGTATTTCCTTCAAGTAACATATATCTTTAGTTTATTTAATTTAATTTAAAATCAATAATTTCTTTTTTACATCGAATTCCATAATTTTATCCATAGTTTTAATAATTTTTCTTCATTTTCTATTAAATACATATTTTCAGATTGATAATAAAATTAAAAAATGATATTCGAAAGATTGTTATTGTTGAAAACTAATTTTAGATTAAAAATTCTGTGTTTCCATCAGTATATATTCTTTACGTGTATTAATAGAGATAATAAAACAATTTTTTTAATTAACTGCAGCTCTCATTGTTGTGAAATACGAGAATGCCGAGGACAAGAACTGAAACATTTAAAATAATATTATTTGCGTTTTTTTAAAGTATTAAAACTATTTTATAATTAATGTAAACCTACCGACATATAATAAGATAATGATAATGCTGGTAAAAATCCATTAACCCTGATTATAATTGGCTTTTGGGATCTTTGAATAAGAAAGAGTAAGTTTTTTAACATCTTTTGTGATTTTTCAACCCAATTTAAATTATAAGCTGCCGATCCGATCGTAGAACTCTGTCATACAAAATTATTAATAATATTATTAATTGTACAGATCAGTTATATTTATGATTATTTGAAAAATGTGAACAAACTATACCATTTCAATTAAATTTTCAGCCGGATACGAGTTGACAAATAATTGAATACTGGCGACAACATCCAGAAGAAGAAATTGACATTTGATAGTTATTGAATCAGTCTATTATCGAACCAAAAAAAAGCATACATTAAAAGTTATACAAATAAATCGTAAAGTTTACAATAAAAAAAAAATTATTTTACACGTATGAATAAATTATGCTTGATATCTTGGGCAAACCTTATTTCAAACAATTATGTTTATGATTAATGAAATTATGATTAAATATATAAGCAAATATGATAATATATTATTGTAAATTATTATTGCATATAAAAAGATACTAACGAAAAGGAATAAAAGTCCACTGGACACTATTAATATGGTTGTAATGCATACGGTAGAAAAAATCACAAAACGTACAGTTTTAACCACGTTTTCTGCATAACTAAAAAATTAAAAAAAAAAAAAAGATAAATGTTCACTTTATCGTAAAAATAAAAATATAATCTATAATTAATTTTATTGATATACGTTACTAGAGAATTTGTTGATGTTTTATGATACACCATTTGAGATCATACTCATTTACAGAATTTGCTATTTCAATTTGCAGCATTTCAAATCTTGCACCAGCGAACCAAAGTAAAACAGCAACTTGACAATCAATCGTAGCACCTGTAGATGATTGTATACCAGTTATTGCTTGCATAAAATAAACAATTTCGTATATTGGATGTGTTTCCACGTTGAACGGATAAACAGCAAAAGTTGGTAATGGTTGTGGTAAAAATATTGGTCCCAAAACAATATT